TTGATTCTTTGGTTGCTCATAGAAACCAGATCTTCCAGGATTGATTTTTATTATCTCCAGACACGATTTGCCTTGGAATCAATACAACAATGTAAAATGTCATTGCAAATAGAGGACATTGATCTGAAATTGCATTTATTAACTCCCACTGATAAAAGCCAAAATGGAATTGGTAAATATGCTGGTATTCAAAAAAAAAAGAAAAAGAAAATGAGTCCCAAATGCTTGAGTTAGAGTTCATCTACAAGAAAAACACATCTTAAAATCTTCTACAGGAAATTATTTATGCAAATAAGGAAAAATATATCTGCATCTTTAACACTGTAACTCTAATCTGAGAGAATTAGGTAATTAGCTGGTTAATCAAACTGGAAATTGCTGTTTATCTGCCCAGGTCCTCGTAAGGAATATCAGCAGTCAGGAGAATTTCCAACAGACCTTCCCTACTCAGGCAAAGAGGGAATGGGAAAGAGACACACGCTGCAGAGCTCAGAGCAGGCTGAAGTTAGGACTTCATGATCTTGGGAGTCTTTTACAACCTTAATTATTCCATGATTCTGTAGGATCTTGTACAACATTCCCATTTGCTCCCCAGCAGCAGGGAAGTGCAAACTGGAATGAAGGCAAGGCTGGAAGAAGAAAGGAAGGAATAAGCCTTTGGAACATTTCCTTTAGAAGCAGGACAGTCTGAAAGCACTGCTCATCTGGAGGCTGCGGAGGGCAGTTGTGATTTTTTCAGGGTTTTCATGCTGGATAAATATGTCAAAACCTGAGTATTCCCTTCTGTTCCTTCTCCTTCGACCTCCTCCTGTGTGCTGGGATAGATGTCTAAATAAGCATTTAGGTATTAGCTGCAGCCAGCCTTGGAAATGCTGACATTATCCCTTCCCTTTTTAATCTGCCTCTGAATGCTCAATTGCACCGATTCGAGGCCAGCAACAGGAGCTGCATCCCCTGAGCATTTCCAGGTTGGATTTTTGTTCCAGTCAGGCTCTGTGTGTCCCTCCAGCAGCAGGGCTGGCAGCACAGATCTGCTGTTGAGGATTTGGATATCCTCACCTGCAAGGTGCTGCTGAATCCATCCCTGGAGAGGCTCCCACAGCCCCCAGGGCTGAGCCAACCTGGGAACGGGATTGGTATAGGTACACAGTGTAATATTGGCTTTTTGAAATTATCCAGATGAGTGCTACATGTATAATGTTAAAATGGCTTTGCTGTGATAGTCAGTACAGCACATTTGAAGTGTCTGCTCGGTTGGGATAACTGCAGTGAACAGATGATGGGGACCCTGCTGCTATCAACACTCAGCACCCCTGGAAAGACCCAGCCAAGGCCCAAATTAAAAGGTGATAAGAAGAGAATTCAAGCCACAAGCCAAGACACACAAATGCTCTAAACAGGTGGAGCCAAGGAGTGGCCATGCTAAACGTGCTGGAAAATGTAAAGTAGTTAATGGAAAAGTTTGAATGAGCATCAAGTCTATGAATATGCATCAGGTGATGCACTAGCAATGGAATATAAAGGGTGTTTCCAAAACACCAGGGGTGCTCTTGGCAGAGAACCAGGCTCCTGGCTGTTTTAACCCTTTGCCTTATTGTCTTTGCCTTCTACTGACTTTTTTATTAAACCTTCTAATATTTACCAGGAAAGTCGTTTTTCCCAGGATGCTGAGTCCACCTCGTCATCTGTGTGTGTCAGCCTCTGCTGAGGTTTGTGCCACAGGCAGAGCTGCTCACCCTAAACAAATCCTGCTCCCGAGGGACACCCGATCCATCGGGTGATTCCCTGGCACATCGGGCTCCTTGTGACCCCCAGACCCTGCCCTCGGCCCTGCAGCCTGGCTGGGGCAACTGGAAATACATCCCGAAATGCATCCCAGCATCCCAAAATGCATCCCAGCATCCCAAAATGCATCCCAGCATCCCAAAATGCACCCCCAAAGAGTCGGGAGATGCATCACGGCTGATGATGGGCAGCTGAAAGAGGAGGGAAGGGAAGCAATTGCAGCCTTCCCACGGATGGGAGGTGCTGCTCGGCTCCCTCTCTTCTAATGAAGAAAGGAAACTTTGTTAAAATCTCTTGCAGGACAAACCAAATCCATTCCCTGAGCCAGAAGAACGCCGAGTTCTCGGCGCCGCGCTGCAGCGGTGAAGCCGAGGGCGGTGAGGCAGGAAAATGGGGATTTCGGGCAGGAAAATGGGGATTTCGGGCAGGAAAATGGGGATTTTGGGCAGGAAAATGGGGATTTCGGGCAGGATGAAGGAGCGGGGACGAGCTGGGGGGACCAGCAGGAGGCTGGCTGGGGGATGGACACCCAGAGGCTTCGCTCCGGCCGGGGACCATCCCCAGGAGCTCTCGGGCTGCTCAGAGCCTCTGGCTCAGCTCCAGCAGGACTGGAAAAACCATGGAAAACCGGGAAGTGCCGCCTCTGTCACACCGAGAGCGTCCTCCCGAGAGCGCTGGCGTGGAAGGAAGGCAGGGAAGGAGCTCTGCTGTTCCCGAGCCTTCAGTGACACCTACAGACGTGCCTGCACATCCAGCTGCGCTCCCAGGGATGCAGGATCCTATCCCAAAGATGCAGGATCCCATCCCAGGGATGCAGGATCCCATCCCAAAGATGCAGGATCCAATCCCAGGGATGCAGGATCCAATCCCAGGGATGCAGGATCCCACCCCAGGGATGCAGGATCCCATCCCAGGGATGCAGGATCCCATCCCAGGGATGCAGGATCCAATCCCAGGGATGCAGGATCCCATCCCAGGGATGCAGGATCCCATCCCAGGGATGCAGGATCCCATCTCAAGGATGCAGGATCCCATCCCAAAGATGCAGGATCCCACCCCAGGGATGCAGGATCCAATCCCAGCAGCAACAGGCACGGCTGGGCATCAGCAGGAATTCCCCATGGAAAGCTCTGTGCTGCCCAGGGCAGGGGTGGAGCCCCAGGGGATTTAACAGAGGTCTGGATGTGGCAGCTGGGACGTGGGACACTGGTGGCCTTGGCAGGGGTGAGGAGTGGTTGGTGACCTTAAAAGATCTTTTCCAAGTTAAATAATTCCATGATTCCATGAAACCTGCAGGCATTTGTGGGAGCACCGAGCACTCACAGTTCCTACAGCACCTGCAGCAAACACCCATTTCTTGATATCTTTTATAGAAATCCTAGAATTCTATTATATTTAATATTCTCTATGTTTATATAAACCTATAACCTATAGGTTATATAAACCTATAATATTCTAACTATATTCTAGAATATAAATATTCCATAAAGAATATTTTGTGTATATATATATATCTAATTATGTATCTAATATATTCTACAATATAATTGTATGGAATTCTATAATATTCTATAGAATTCTGTAGAATAGAAATTACATACCAGATTTCTATATTCTAGAATCTATTCTATTTTCTAAAATTCTATACAATTATATATATACTGTTCTATATACTTATAGTCTTTATATTATTCATTCTTTTTGTGTTTATAAACACCTGAGAAATATGTAATGTATTAATTAATTAATTGACTAATTAAGTGTCATAACAGTTGTTCTAAGAGTTCCTCTGTTTGGTCACAAGTGAACAAAATAACAGACAAATGAAATTTGTCCAAGATAATACAGCCAAGCCCCAGAGGATTTGATCTGAAATCTCTACAGACAGGAACAAAATCCTTCTCCCCACCTCCTGTAGAGTTTTGATAAGGTTGAAAATCCAGGAACAGTTTTGCATCCCCTGAGCAGTTCTGCCCAGTCCCTATCTGTGTGGCTGTATCTTCATTAATTTAGCAGGGAATTAAGCAGGTGGGAAATAGGCTCAGGAAGAAGTAGTTAAGATTTTGGTGTCATGTACCAGAGATTGAGTAATGTTGGTATTATTTTAGCATGACAGCTGTGCAGAGTAGATTTTTGGAATAAGCAAAAATATCTATCTCTGTATGATTTTCAGACTTTTGCTCTCATTGTTAAGCAATATTTTTTCTCTTTTTCATTTCCTCTGAGGCCCTGTTGAAAAAATTGCTGCATTTTTGTCAACAGAAATGGAAGAGAAATGTTAACTTTAGAGGCAGAGGGAATTCACAGGCACAGACAAGGAGCTGGAGTCTGCATAATGTGTCGTGGCTCATCTTTCTGTGCCACACTCTGCTCACACTGAGGTGAAAAATAGACAATTAAACCAGTGGTAAAGGAGCTGTGGAGCTCCAGCTGTGACAGGGATTAGTCCTGAATGAGGGTGGAGCTGCTGCCTGTGTTTGACACAGAACCTGCTCCGTGTCTGGGGTTTCCCTTTGGAAATGTCCTGGTTTGGAGCCTCCTTCTGCCTCAGCCCCCTGCAATGGCCCTGCCCACACCCCAGCAGGGCTTTGGGCTCTGTGCAGTGCAAGGTTCTGTTGGCATCACTCATCTTTTATATTTATTCTTTGTGGGGGCCCTCCCTGCACAAGGGAAGGATTTGAGATGTGAAATCATCCATCAGAGAGCGTGGCCAGCTCCCAGTAAACAGCATAACAATAATCTCAGCCTGATCTTTGCCTTTCCAGGTATGGCCACATTAAAAACTCCTGGTTTTAATACATCCTTTTTATTCTGGTTTTGGAGGTTTTATATTTAATTTGGGAACAACAGAACAGATTTTTGATAACCACGGTGAGCGATGCATGGGTGTGGAAGAACGCTTGAAGTGTGAGAAGATTCAAATGAGAGAATCTCTGATAAAAAGATTTAATCGAGCCTTTCAGATCTTTTCCAGCCTTTTCTTTCCTCCTTCATCAGGATGGTGACTGGAAAAGGATTCTGGGGAGTTTATGAAGTGTTTTAATCCAATAACTAGAGAAAAGATAAACCCAAAGATGGAATAATTCACTTGTTGATTTAAGGACTTTCCTGAGTGATCAGTGCTTAGGATCTCTCTCAGCCCAGTCTCTGCTCCTCAGGAGAACAAGAATAATCTTTTTTTTTTTTCTTTTTCCCCATTTCTTTGTTGTTTGTAGATCCAACCCGGGTCATGGTGTCCCCTTTCAGCATGGATGTCACAGTTGGAGAAAGCATCGTCCTGCCTTGCCAGGTGTCCCACGACCACTCCCTGGACATCGTGTTCACCTGGTCCTTCAACGGGCACCTGATCGACTTTGAGAAAGATGGGGATCACTTTGAAAGGGTGGGAGGGGTAAGTATTAAATCTGACAAGGTGGGAATGTAGAAAAGGCTGCTAACAGGAGGAACTGGAAGAAGGCAGCAAGGAAAAGGAGGAAAGAAATGGACAATTTTCAGCAGAGGTAGAAAACTGGGAAGGGTTTTGAATGTTGCTCTGAGGGAGGTTTTAGAGAGCAACAGGTCTTGGGCATAGTGACAGTTCATGTTTATATTTGTCAGGAGTGAAATTTAATGCTGAAAGGAAAAGCAGATACCATTTCCAAGCCTTTCTCTTATCCCTTAAAAAAATCATTTAAAGATGAACTCCCAGATTGCTGCCCAGAGCTCGCAGCAGCAGCCATGGCTTTACAGGGTGACTGCTCCTGTTTTGGCCCAATTACAAACAAATTGGCCCAAATTACAAAGCTAAAATTACAAACTTTATTCATATTCCTCAGTCCAAAGGCCAGAACCATGAGATTACCCTGAGATTTCCAATCTATTGAATGCTTTGTGTCTGGAGAGAAATTGAGAGAGGTTCTCAGCATCCAATACATGCAGAAATCTAATTAGTTCTATTCACCAGTTAATCAGACATGCACTTGGCGTTTGGAAAACAAATTACTGCTGGTGTGTGATGCAAGATTTCCTCACAGAGTGCTGTTCTCGTGATCTTTAGCACAAAAATGCTGGGCAATCAAAATGCTGGCTGGCACACAAAGATGTGAAACTACTGCTGATACCTCCAGATTTGGGCTGGGCTTCCCTTGCAGGAGAGATGGAGACACAGCCTGGGCCCCTGGATGTCAGAGAGGGTAAAAATCCGATATCCAGAGAGAAAAAGGAGGAATCAGGGTGAACCTGTCCTACACTGTCACTTTGTTTTAATGGGGAAAGTACTTGACAGCCCCCAGCCCTGCTCCCTGGAGGAGCCAGAATTTTAGGGATGCTCCCTCTCTTACTTTCCAGGCAGACTCCCATCATTTTAACAAGCCATGGCTTGCTTGGTGATGCTCTCATCAGCCAGCATAAAGTAAATCCATTAGTCATGGTGTCCTTCATGTGATAATGATGTTTAGGGCTCATTAAAAAGTAATTGTAACCACTTTTCCCTACTTTATCAGCAGGATTCAGCTGGCGATTTGATGATCAGGAGCATCCAGCTGAAGCATGCAGGGAAATACGTCTGCATGGTGCAAACAAGTGTGGACAAGCTCTCAGCTGCTGCAGACCTGATTGTAAGAGGTATTTGAATTTTGCTGCTGTTGTTGGTGTTGTCATAGAATTTATTTTATTTGATTTCCTGCCTTCTGCAATACCTGGGCTCAGAGACAGCCCCACACCTTGTAATCAATCTGAGGGAAAAGCTCTGAGTGCACGCTGGGGTTCACAGCACCCACCAGAGCATGTCAGGTGTTTCAGATGCTCCCAGAACAGAGCCAGCCCACACATCCCCGCTACTTGTTCACATCCTGAATGCCAGCCCTGCACCCACTGAGCTCATTTGTGCCATGGACTGAGCAGCAGGAGCAGCATCCAGCTATTGGCAGCAATTCTGCCAAACAGTGTTATTCTTCTTCAGAATAAACACAATTTATTCTTATTAAACTCCACTGATATATCGAGATCTCTTCATTACCATGCACAGGTGATGTGTAAGTTTGACTTTAACAGAGCTGTAATTAATTACCCTGAGTCTGTGTCCTTATGACAAATATGATTTATATTTCCCTGCTTGTTCACTTTGGGGAAGGAAAATTTGGGTGCTGCTCTGTTCTTGCTACCCTTGGTTCTCATAAACAAGAGGAATATTCAGTTCTCATTAAATGAGATAACCCTTGATGATAAGAAAAGTCCTGATCTTGTCACTCCCTAAAAACACCAGGGGTGTTAGAACACTGGCATAGGGTGCCCCAGGGTGCTCAGGGTGCCCAGGGCAGCTGTGGCTGCCCCTGGAGGAGTCCAAGGCCAGGCTGGACAGGGCTGGAGCACCTGGAACAGTGGGAGGTGTCCCTGCCATGGCAGGGGTGGGACAGGATGGGATTTAAGGTCCCTTCCAGCACAAACCCTTCTGTGATGTCCGAGGTGGGAGCAGACTGAACCTCGGGCATCGCTCCAGCAGCAAAGGCCGTGGGATGGAGCAGAGAGGTCTCTCCCTGCCTGGGGCTCCCTGCAGAGCCTCAGTGGTTAAAAACACCCAGCAGGGAGACAGAACATCCTGATCTCTGCCACCACACTGCTCCCAGCCCCAGGCAGGCAGGGAGAGCTGCAGCTGCCCCAGCTGCTGTGCAGGGACCCGTCCCCTCTCTCCCCCTCGAGTCACTGGGGTTCTGCTGCGGTCCCACAGGTCCCCCGGGGCCCCCCGAGGCTGTGACCATCGATGAGGTGACAGACACCACGGCCCAGCTGTCCTGGAGGCCAGGGGCAGACAACCACAGCCCCATCACCATGTACGTGGTGCAGGCACGCACGCCCTTCTCGGTGGGCTGGCAGGCAGTGAGCACAGGTAAGGTCCTCACCTGGCACAGGGAGCTCCAGGGATGGCAAACCCACCCCTCAGTGCCGTGTGGAGATGGAAATGACACTGTTTCTTGGTGTAGAATTTTTATTTCTTTTATTTGTTTATTATTTTATTTTTCTGTTATTTTATTTTATTTTTTATTTTATTATTCATTTTATTCATTATTTTATTTCTTTATTATTTTATTTATTTATTATTTTATTTATCATTATTTTGTTTATTTTTAAAATTATTTATTCATTTATTTATTTTATTTTTCTATTATTCTAATTTTTTATTTATTTTTTATTATTATTTTATTCATCATTATTTTATTTTTTTATTAAATCGATTATTATTCTTTTGTTTATTTATTATTTATTATTTATTATCTTATTCTTTTATTAATATTTCATTTTTCTTATTTTATTATTTAATTTATTAATTATTATTTTTATTATTTATCATTTTATTATTTTTTTGTTGTTGTTATTTCATTATTATTATTTATTTAGTTTATATTTATAGGAATATCAGAAGATACTGTGTTGGAATCTGGCTAGCCAATAATCTCTTGAAATTCACTTTACTGGTTGGTAATGGTTAGGGCACATGTTCAGCAAACTTTTCTCTTTTTTAGATAGTTTACATTTTTTCTGCACAGATTCTCACAGGATAGACTTCTTATTTTTAAAGATAGAAATTGTTTCTTTCATAAGAACAGCTTGTTATGTAAACTGATTTTCATCTCTATAACTTTTTCTTAAGGGAATAAGTAGATTTTCACTGTTACAGTGAGTTCCAGTCTTATGAAAGCTGACAGGTTTCTCACAAGACCTTATCAGGCTAGCTTTCAGCTCAGCCTAAGTAATAAATAAAATAAAAAAATAAAATAATATAATAAATAATAAAATAAATAATAAAAAAATAAATAATTTAAAAAATAATAAAAAAAATAAAGCCTGGTTTTACAAGGCCTTTCTTTTAGAAGGTTTTTACCTACCTGTAACACCTCAGCCCCCACACCGAGCTGCTTGGACCAGACCCTGATGTGAAATGCAATTTCCCTGGCTGCAGAGCACTGCTCTTATTAACTGGTTTCAGGTTTGGCAACCCAAAGATTTAGGGTGCAGCCAGTGCCATTACTCACCCATTTTTCTCATGAATGTTTAAGGGAAAACAGAATGAATTCCTATCTCTTGTTGCTGTGCTGGAGATATACAACAGTAATTGTGGCCTATAAAGACATCCCTCAGGGACAGCCCGTGTCATCCAGCCCATCTTTAAGGAGAATTATTTTCCTGATAGAGGGGAAAAATCCCAGGATGTAATTGCTCATTCCGTCAGAGGTTAATTTTGTTCCAGCAACCATTAAACAGAGACAACAGTGTGTTTCAAAAAGAGAAAAATAAACGCCCTCCAAACCTGGTGTCTTGACACTTTGTTTCCAAACTCTGGCAATTTTGGAGAAACTCTTTAATGGCAGGAATTTCTGGGCTAAAAGCACGGGGGTTTAGTGCACAGGGGGTTAATGCTGCCTCTTTCACTTCTTCGCACTTGGCAAAACATTAGAAAAATCAAAGTTTACCAACCCTTCTTGGTACTTACATTAAGCCCTCACCTTTAAAGAAATGAGATTTCCCTGTGCCTTTTCCCCAGCAGTATTTTAACATGCCAGTGGGTTTCCTTGCACCCCCAGTCCCAGAGATCATCGACGGCAGGACGTTCACGGCCACGGTGGTGGGGCTGAACCCGTGGGTGGAGTACGAGTTCAGAGTGGTGGCTGCCAACCTGATCGGGATCGGGGAGCCCAGCAGGCCCTCCGAGAAGAGAAGAACCGAGGAAGCTCGTAAGTAGTGCTGGGCAGAGGAGCTGAGGGGGAAATCCTTGGGGGATAAATGCCAAAAGATCCCTCAGCTGTGGGCAGGTGGCTCCTCTGTTCTGTTGGAGCCCATGGAGGAAACGAATGTGAAACGGGAAAATAAATAAAAGATCTTTTTCAATGTTTAAACTAAACAATTAGAGACTGAATACACAAGTTAATTGACATACTTTTAATATACTATTATTGACATACTTTTAATGTGCTGTTTGCCATGGCAAATTAGTCATTTTAACAGTTGCTGGCACCAGCAGGGGAAGGCCAGCAGTGTCCTGCTGCTCTGTTCCATCTCCATGTGGATTTTGGGTTTCAAAGCTGTCACATCCATCTTCTGCATTTATTTTTTTTGCAGTCCCTGAGGTGACCCCAGCTAATGTCAGTGGAGGTGGAGGCAGCAAGTCTGAGCTGGTCATTACCTGGGAGGTGAGTCTCACTCCAGCCTTCTGTGGATTTCGAAGGGTTGGCAGTCAAAAAGCCCAGATTGTGTGCTAAAAACAGCCCAGCTGAGCAGATGGAGCTAAAGGATGGGCCCAGCCCCAGGGAAGTGGGGAGCAGGGGCCATGGGGAGCAGGAGCTGCCACCAGCTCAGCTCCCCTTGACTCCCAGCACACCCACACGACAAAATGTGGGTGCCCAAGGGATAAACCAAGCTTGGAACATCCTGAGCTGGTGGAGAATCGCAGTGCTGGCTCCCAGCTTCCTCCCTCCTCCTGCCTGGGATATGAGGCAGCAAACAGATCAGAGCCAGCACAGGGCAGGCTGGCTTTAATTGCTGCTGATGGCAGCCAGCGAGAGGAGATGCAGAGATGGGAAATGTTTAATATTCCTTAAGGCAGACGGGGTTAGAACTTTAGTCATTTGTCTGCTCATATTTTTGTGTTGTGATGCAATGCAGCTGGCATATTTCTCCTAATAATGAACTCCACCAGACGTGCTAACACTTCCATTTAGCACTATTTCTGACCAAGCTGGCAGAATGAATCGCCAGAGTTATTCTTGAGGTTATTAAAAACCTATAAATGGGTTTTTGTCCTCACCACACAGCTCAATGTGCTAAATTTCCTCCTCTGTTGGACTAATTAGTTACGCCGTGTCTCCTAAAGATACTGCAATATGTTTCAAAAACACACATGGCCAGAACATCAGCCATTGGTTCGAGATGTAATTTGCACAAAATATCATTTGCATTTTGATAAAGAGTGGTTTTACTCTTTTAAATGTCCAGAGGCCTTTTCTTTATGTGAGCCCTACAGCACAGAGCAGGATGCAGTCACCAGTAGTAACCCAGGCTGAAGCTCCATGGACATCTCAGGGATTAAGGTGACCCATAATTATGGATTATTTTAATACTGGAACCTTTGGGTTTAGTGCAGCTTTTTAGGGGGCTGCAAGCCTCAGAGTAGGAAGTGTCAGTGTGTAGGGTGTGTTCTTTGTTCACGTGTGATCCCAAAGGCCTGAGAGCGGCAGCACGTGTGTTGGGAAAGCAGGAACAGAACAAACCTCAGGCTCTTCACCAAGCCTGAAATTACATCAGAAATGCAGGCCCCATCTGGTCAGGGAGGGAGGGGAAATAAGCTTCAGGAGAAGTGTCTTCTGGAGGTGCTGCTTCGTGTTTCAGTGTGGAAGCGTGTTTCTGCCATGGAGCAGAAAGGCTCTGGTGCAGGCAGGATGGGATGAATTCCTGTTGGATGTGACACAGGACCTCCTGCACCTCCGTCCAGTGCTGTGTTCACAGAATCATCACAGAATCAATTAACTAGGTTGGAAAAGATCTCTGAGATCATCAAGTCCAGCCTGTGAAGGCAGAGGACCGAGAGGAATGCTGGGGGCGCGGCGGGGCGCTCGGCGTGCGCTGAAGCCGCTGTTTGTCCCTGCCCACAGACGGTGCCCGAGGAGCTGCAGAACGGGGGTGGCTTTGGCTACGTGGTGGCTTTCCGGCCCCTGGGCACGGTCAGCTGGATGCAGACGGTGGTGGCCTCGCCGGATGCCGCCCGCTACGTGTTCCGCAACGAGAGCCTGCCGCCCTTCTCGCCCTACGAGGTCAAAGTGGGCGTCTACAACAACAAGGGGGAAGGCTCCTTCAGCCCCGTCACCGTCGTCTACTCGGCAGAGGAAGGTAGAGATGAGCCCTCCCCACCTCCTCTCCCTCCTCCCTTTCAGGCTCTGAAGGGCTTTGGTCTCCACCTTGACGCATCCTTTGATACCTCAGCCCCGCTCTGGTTTATAATAAATGGCGAACCGTGATTAATTCTTCTCATAGCCATTAAAATAACGTTAATCGTAATGAAATCTTTTGATATTAATGGAAAAGTAATATGTAATCTGGGAAGAATTCCGTGGAGATTTAGCATGAATTAATGTCCACTGATTAGAAAATGTTCCTACTTGTCCTAATTACAGTACATGGTATCCTGGGCTGAGTTTAGTAATGACAGCTTATTATTTCTGAGGGAGAGGCCCGGCACAGCCTGACAGGCCATCGGTTTGAAACGTGGACATTTGTTTGCTTCCTTCCTTGTGCAATGAGGAAAATAATTCCCCTGGTGTTTGGGACTAATTGAACATAGAATTGAAAAGTCTTACTTCTGCTTTTAACTGCCCAGAGCCGACCAGAGCCCCCACCACTGTTTTGGCCAGAAGTGTTTCTGCCTCAGACGTGGAAGTTTCTTGGGCTCCCCCGTGGGAGAACCAGCACAAAGGAAGAATACAGGGATATGAGGTATGGGAAACAGCGCAGGATCCTTCCTTGAGGGGACACAGAGATGTCCTCGTGCTGCTCCTCCTGCCATGGGTGTGTTCCTAAAGTGGATTTGCTTCTCTCTGCCTCTTTAGTGCACAGACATCTTATGGTTAAAATTCCACCTTTCTCTCACAAGGTTAAAAATTCCACCTTTCTCTCACAAGGTTAAAAATTCCACCTTTCTCTCACAAGGTTAAAAATTCCACCACTCTCTCACAAGGTTAAAAATTCCACCCTTCTCTCACAAGGTTAGAAATTCCACCTTTCTGTGTGGGGTCTGCTGGAAGCGGAGCCCTCCCTGGAGGTGCTGCCATGGCCAGGCTTGGGGAGGGGAGCCAGGCTGGTGCCCAGCAGGGCCAGGGATGGTGGCAGGGAGCAGGAGGTGTCCCTGGGAGCAGATCTGGGTTGGTGACAGGAAGGAATGGGTGCTGCCAGCCCCTCTGGGGTGGGCAGTGCCACAGCCCTGCTCTGCCCCCCAGGTGCGCTGCTGGCGGCACGACGAGAAGGAGGAGAACGCCAAAAGGATCCGGACGGTTGGGAACCAAACCTCCACAAAAGTCAGCAACCTGAGGGGCAATGCCCTCTACCACCTGGCAGTCAGGGCCTACAACACGGCCGGCACCGGCCCCTCCAGCGCCGCCGTCAACGTCACCACCAAAAAGCCACGTGAGTGTTGGCACGGATGCCCCAGCAGGGTCCAGCCACTGCTCCCCTCTCCCATTTCCCAGCTCTCTTGAGTCTGAAGGAGCTGTCAGATTTCTCCTTGCCAGGTTTTTGTGGAGATTTACCAGGCTCAGCCTTTCTATTTAATTTTTTTTTTTTTTCGTGAGGTTCTTCCCGGTGTTAAGTAAGCAGAGCATGCAAAACCAAAATCACAGCTGTGCAGGCAAATTAAATATTTATCTCAGTGTTCAAGAGGGCTTTTTTCCTCTGGTCTCAGGCATGTTGAGCAAGTGACTGAATCCTTTTCTTCATTTAAAGCCCCATGTCGTGTCACACCTCCCGTGACCTTGAGGACACAGATGAGTGGAGCAGCTCGTTAGCTTTGCAGAGGGACAGGGCTCTGGGCAGGCTCAGCTGTGCTGGTGGAAGCCCCACTGGCACTGGAAGGGATCCAGCTGGGAATTGATTCTCCTCAGCAACGTGCTGCTGTCTGTTTTTTGGTGTAGCACCGAGTCAGCCCCCCGGGAACATCGTGTGGAATTCATCCGACTCCAAGATCATCCTGAACTGGGACCAGGTGAAAGCCTTGGACAACGAGTCAGAAGTGAGAGGCTACAAAGTGAGTATTTCCATGATTTCCCAGGTCAGATCTGGGGCACTCCTCCAAAACCACAGCCATGCCTGTCCATGTGAGCACACTTTTCCTGCAGCTCCCACCTGCAGGACTTCGCTCCTGCCTTCCCTGGAAACTTCCCAAAGGCTGTAGTTGGCTCCTTAACTGCAGACAAATAAAATGCTTTTTAATAGCTCCCATTCCCTGCAGAAAGGCAAGCCAAGAGGAAAAGAAAGAGAATCCTCATTAGAAGCAGTTTTAATAGGAAATAATTTAACTAGAGAGAAACCTTGGGAAGAATTCAGCTCCATCACCTTCCTCAAGGGTTTCATTTTGCCAAAAAGATGTTGCCCTGGGGTTGGAACTGTGCAAACATTTTCCACCAGAGCCTGAGCCAGTGAAGGACCTGGCCATGCTCCACGTTTTATTCCCAGTCTGGAATGCCAGCAGCTTGGCGAGCCTGTGCCAGCTCCCTTCAATTCCTGCACTAACCTTAAGGTGTCTTTGGTGCTCTGTGTGGGCTCAGCAAAAATAAGTAATTCCTCAGGGTTTTTAGTCCAAACCTCTAATGAACCTCAGCAATATGGAGCAGCTTTTCACTACATACTTTAGGTTTGAAATGCAAATTAAGAGGGAGAGAGAGAGACTCATCACCCTGAAAAAGCATCTAGAGGGTTTCTAAAACATTCTCCTTTAACTGACTGTAAGGATAGCCCAGCCACATGGATTTATTTCCTGAACCACAGGAAAACAGTGCCTATTTTTCTTCTTTTTGCCTAGAAATCCTGTATTTTATGTCACAATTTATGATATAAATTAGTGCAACTCCCACAGCGCAGAAGGTCATTCACAAAAGTCATTTATTCTGGGAAACCATTGATGGCACTGCATCAAATATCCCAACTCAGTTTCCAGAAGGAGCATAATAAGGAGTTTCTGACCTCTGTAAAGAAGTTTTTACTTTTATAGGGGTTTCTTTTAGCTTGACCAAGGTAAAGGTTTCTCTGAGGGGCTCCACTGGGTACCGGTGCCGTGTTGGGTGCTGCTGATCAGCCTCATCCTCCTGCCAGTGTCACCCCCCTGCCCGGGCACTGCCACCTCTGTGCTGGTGTCCCCAGCAAATCCCACATGTCCCCTGTGTGACCAGACCATGCCTGGGGCAGCAAAAGAGCAGCAGCACCTCTGCACACCCTGAGGTGACAGCTCTGAGGACAGCTCTGCCCTTTCTGCCTCCTGTTCTGTCTCCCTCGGCCGCAGGTTTTGTACAGGTGGAACAGGCAGAGCAGCACTTCTGTCATAGAAACAAATAAAACCTCAGTGGAGCTGTCCCTGCCCTTTGATGAGGATTACATCATCGAGATCAAACCCTTCAGCGACGGCGGTGACGGCAGCAGCAGCGAGCAAATCCGAATCCCAAAGATATCCAGTAAGGATGGGGGGGTTTGGGCTCTGTGCCACGGGGTCCCAGCAGCAGATATTCCAGTCCCCGCTTCTGATTTCATCCCAAAAGCAAGATTCAGCCATAAGAAGCGCCATCCTAAGTAGTTCTATTTGTATTTAAGGTTTCCAGACACTTTCCCCTCTCAGTTCCATGCACTGAATTTATTGTTTTGCTGCCATTCACTGTAGCCAAATACAGGATGCAGAGGCTTCTGAATCTGTAAGGGCTACTGTACAGCCACATCCCACAGTGTGCTGGATGCATAAATATTTATTTAGGGAAATGAGGTGGTGTAGAAGAACAAACACAAAGAGTATTTTATTACACAACATGGCTTTTGCAAAATCTCCATGTCCCATCTTCCATTAATAATGTCCCAGTTTATAAGCTGCATTAAATCAGGAGCCTCTGCAATGCAGGAATATGGCATTAAAATGAGAGTGATGTAAAAAAGCCCTGGGTGAGAGCAGAGTTCTCCCCACTGTGGCTGTGTAAACCACGCAGAGGAATTTAATCAGCAGCACAGGAGGGGCGAGGGGAGCTGGAACACTCCAGCCCCCATTTGGCTCCAGGCCGTGGGTGACGGAGCAGGTACACGGCTCCTCCGGGATGGGGGTCACCAGGAACAGCTGGGAGATGCTGCAATTGTCAAAAAATACCGAATAATGACAAGCAGGCAGCGTGTGAAATGATAGAACCGTGAGAGGAGGAGCCTCAACACAAGGGGGACAGGAATTGAAACCAACAATTCAGCTGGACACAGTGAAGAGGAGGAGGGGGCTGTGCGTGGGGACTGTGCCTTATCTGAGGAATGAGAATTCAAGCTTTGGAGGGGGTGGGTTAAGGAAGAGTTTAGGGATTGCTCTCTGCTCACCTCTGGCTCCTTTTCCCCCCCTCTCCCCTCTCAGATGCCTACGCCAGAGGCTCGGGCTCGTCGACCTCCAGCGCCTGCACCCTGTCAGCCCTCAGCACAATCATGATCTCCCTCACAGCCCGCTCCAGTTTATGACAACAATGACATCGAGGACTTCTTCTTTATAATATAAGCAACATTTAGCTACTTGTTTTGGAGACACCCAGTACTAAGTAATATTGTGGTTTGAGTACATCTTACTACTGGAAAAAAAAAAATGTTTATGCTTCTTTAGGAATGGCATTATACAGTACTTCCTCAAAGCAAATATAGCTTTGTCTGAAGTTTCCTTGGAAACTCTGCAATGCACTGAAAACATCTGTAATACGATGTTACCAAAGCAGTTTACATATGTCCTTATATGCATATTTTTTATTATATATTTAGTGTTTTATAGAATTTTTTAAAGTTAACATATGATGTAGATATTAATTTTTTTCCTCTGCTATAAAATGCTACGGACGACATTATCACGGAAATATTGTTTGGGATTTTTTCCTTTACGGCGGAGAGTTCCAAGTTGTTCTTGGCAAATTGGCTGGAGTTGACTGTACAGAACTGATCCAGACCCAGATTGTAACAGGCTGAGTTTCACTGGCAGCTCCTGAGCTGAGCTTCTAACACACGTTTTATCCAGAGCTCTGAGCAGGACAAACTCAAAACGCCCACAAGAGCAGGATTTTGGAAATCCCCACCTGGTTTTTGGTTGGTTGTGGACTACAGGACACGTAGCCAATATTCCAGCACCGTGCAGCGAGGAGGGGCTGTGAAATTTGTTTTGTCTTGATCATAATTAGCATTAAATTGGGTGGGAAAACGAGGATCCTGCAATGCTGTGACCTCTGCCTGCGGTGACACAACGGGGCGTTGGGGGCACGCCCGGCTCGACCCTTTGGAGATCTAATTCCAAGGAAATTCCTCTTGTTTGGGGATTAATTCCAAGGAGATCAGAACACGGCCACTCTGAGACAGAAAGCTGCTCTGGGCTCGTTCTTTGGGACACAACTCCTCATCCTTGGTAACGCCACTCTCCAGACAACGCTTGGGAATCGAACGCTGCCCCGGCTCCAGGCGATCCGTGGAAAAGTGGGAATCTCCCGGAGATCCCTGCTGGAAGTTTGCCTTTCCTTACAAACTCTTCCCAGATTCCTGGAGGCAGAACAGAGTCACACCAGAAAACTACACTATCCACACTGGAATAATTCTTCTCAAGAGAAGGACTGTTTGTTACTACGGGGAATTTTGTAAGTTCAGACGGGATAACGCTGGAAAAGGCAACGGAATTTTCTATACAATTTTCAACTTTCAATGCGCTGCAGTGGTATTTTATTTTATTTATTTTTCTCCTGATAGCTTGAATTTGCCTGTAACTTGTCTTTTTTGCTTACAAAATAATACAGTTAACTTTTAAATCTTCTAAATATATTTATTCAGTAACTCATAATCAGGATTCCACTTGTGTAAAAGTCAGGGGTGTTGACCAGAGAAATATTGTCAGTATTTCAAGCTGTGTTCCTTTCTTAGTTTGATATGGTTACTTCTATGTAAAAAAAAAAAAAAATAAAATAAGAAAACCTTAAAAAAAATAAAAAAATCCACAAAACCAAGAAAAATGAAATAATAATAATAAAAAAAGCTTCTGTAGTTTTCTCCCCGGTGTAAATGATATTTATCAGTGATCTAGCAGATGTAATCTTTTTTTAAAGGTATTGGTAATAAATATTCTGTCATTTGTAAAGATACATGTCTTCCAGGAGCCTTCTTCCTCCACTTTTTGTTGTGCCCAGTGAGAAATTTCCCCTCAGAGCCTGCTGAGACTGTCACTGATGTGAAGATACAAGAGTTGGTTTAAATCAAAACTTGAAGGGAGAAAAAAAAATCTATTTATACACCTCTGGTTTAATTCTGCTCCCAAAAGTGACCAAAAATGTGAGCAGGTGAATTTTGGGATTGTTTTGTAGAGCTGTGAGCTATCCAAGCTGATGGGGACGGTGCTGTTGGAGCATCTCTGACCCTGTGGCTGGAGCAAAACCCTTCCAGGCACTGCCTCTGCTTATCCTGGGGATTCCTGAGGATTTGGGGAGCACGGCTTGAAAAAACTAAATCCACCCAAGGCACATTTCTAATCCTTGCAGGGGCAGGAGTTGGATGGTGCTCGCTGCATTCCAAGGAGAAACGCCGCACTTCGCAATCAATGGAGCAGAAAAAGAAACCGGCCCCGTAGCACAATTCCATTTTTAAAAGGAAAAGTAAAATTGCCATTTCCAGAGGCAGGTGAGGAGCAGCTCCTGGGGATGCTCTCCTGGAGGCAGCAGGGAAGAGCTGGGCTGGAGGAATGAGGGGTTGGGAGCTGGTTTGAAGGGGAAAAATGAGGAATGAATAATTCTGTGCGGTGGGAGTTAGGGGCTGGAGATCTGGTGTGGTGGTGCCAAAACCTGACACAGCCCTGGGTGTGGCCTGGGATCCTGGACAAATTCCTTTTCCCTTGTGCTGCCTGGGATGAAGATTTTCCTCCAGGGATCGTGACCATGAGGAGGAGCTCGGCCAGGAAAGGTCCTCATCCTGCACCCTCCTGGATGTGAGATCCCACCACACCCCTGCCACTGCAGGTGAGTGGGCTGCAGCTGCAGCTTGGCTGGGGAAATGCAGCTACTCCTGCTTTACACCAGCTTGGATTTATTTACTAGCACCAGCAGAAGTGTGGCTGCTGGCTCTCCAAACCATCCAGCCCTGCCTGTCCCCATGAGGAATCAGCCTGGAAATAACAAGGTCCTGACATGTAAAATATATTTAAATAGATTGCACTCACCTCTTCAACAGCTTGCCATTAATGGGAATGGGGTTATACGTAGAAAACTTATTTATTGGGCCACTGGAAGGCATGACATAAAACACATTCCAGTAAGTGAATTCTCTTTAGTCTTATTTTGAGGATTTTACTAATGAAATTCTGATTTTAGAGTGTTAAAGCTGGGCCCCTCAAATCCATTAAAAGCAGGAGAGACATTGGAGGCACAAGCATTATATTAATGAGCAAATTAATTTTGATGGAGCAATGCTACTTCACCCAGATGAGAACTGGCTCATTTATTATAATTATTTTTAGTCTGTAGTACCTGGGAACTCCATTTCTTTAGGCACCTTCCAAAGAACTTATTGGCTGGATCAAATATTTGTTTTTATTCTTTGTTAACGTGTTTAACTCAGCTCCATTTTCAGGAGGTGTCTTGGAATTAGAAGGAATTCTGCAAGACCAGGAGGACTTCATGGGCCAGGGAGGTCAAAGGCCGAGGTCTGGGGCAGGAGGTTTATTTGGGAACTCCCTCGGTGGATCCCAGAACACAGGGAAATAAATCAGAAATTGAGGCTGTCTCAAACATCTAAGATGGAACAACACAGAGCAAAGAAAACCAGGCTGCAATACTGGGCTTGGATTTTCAGAATTACTGGAGTTGCACACCCAGGAGGAGCCCAGCTCGTTGCAGCTCAGACTCTTAAGAGCACCAGGCAGTCCTTGGCACATTTCTTTAATGACTTCACACTTGCAAACTCCCTGTTACCAGGCTCCTTGTTCTGTCGGTGCAATTGAGGAAGTTTATCTACTTATGCCATTTTTCTCTTTTTTTTCCTTTCTTCCCCCCCTGAAGCTTTCATTTCTCATGGCAGGAAGCACAAACAATCCCTTGCTGAACTCCTGCAGATGCTGCCAGCCGATGTCAGAGCCTGAAAAAGAGCCTTGGATGGGAAAGGAGCCACGTGTGAGTGTCCTGTGCCTGCCCAGTGCTGAGGTCCTGGGGAGCAGGGGATCCCACCCATCCCAGCAGGATTCCCTCGCTCAGGAGTGGAAGAATCACAGGTGAAGTTCTGTTTTACACTGAAATGTGATACCCGAGTGTACAGAAGGAGCAGGCACAGTGTAGCTTTGCTGACAGGAGCAACACAAGCAAAGTTTGTCTTAAATAACCTACAACATCCAGAAGTTGTTGGTGTTTTATAAAGTCCTGAGACAGATCAGAGAACCACAGAGCATTCTGAGTTGGACAGGACCCACAAGGATTGAGTCCAGTGGTCCCTACAGGGATTGAAACACACCCTTGGTGTGATCAGCACCACGCTCTGGCCAGCTGAGCTGAGCCCAGGTGTTCCTCTCCATCCCAAAACGGAGCTGTGTCACTGCCAGAGCAAGGTGAGGTGCCTTTCAGCAGTGCAGAGGATGCTGGCTGTGCACAGTCCCCACACAGGGCGGTCTGGCTGCACAGGCACACCCAACTTGACCCAGGAATTTCATTTCCATGGATGTTTTTCCGGTGGAAATTCACAGTTTCATTACAAAGCGTATCAGCAAAGGCCAGGTGAGCGTCCCTGCTGTCATGGTGGCCTTGCTGTGCAGCGCTGGGGGTGACAGCACTGGGTATTTCACAACTTTTTTCTTCTTTTCGCAGTGTTTGACCCCTCTTGGTCAGTGCCAGGACCACCTTGCTGCATCCACAGGGCCATGCCAAACCCAGTTGGCATCTCCAGTTGTAAAGGTAAAACAAACATCCAAAAGATTAAGCTGCCAACCAGAAAAAAATGAATCCATTTGCTCTTTTCCAAGCTTTTTTTTCCCCTGACACAGCTTTTGTGCCATGAACTTAAATCCTGCTTGAACAAGGCACCTGGTGAAGGCAAATTCTCCTCCCCACTGGGAGCAGGGCCACAGAGAGGTGACACAGAGCCCTCTCCAGCGCTGGTGGGTGACACTGTGGAGCCTCTCAGAACACGGAGTCATCGAGGACACTGCAGGAGAAGCCTTCAGCCAGGCTGCCCACCTCGGTCTCCGTGGAGCAGGTGCAGGTCCGTGCTCTCTGCAAAGCAAACACCCCTTGGAGCTGGGAGCTGGGGGGGTTGGTTGGGCTGGGGCAGAGCTCAGAGTTCAAACTGGTGCATTTAGAGAGGGATTAACCCAAAATGTTGCGTGGTTTAGGAGCTCAGAAGCATTGGGTTCGACAGGAGGATTTTCACCCTCTGGCTGAAGCTCTCACAGAGCTGCTCATCCTCTGTCCCTCGAGCCCTGCAGCCCCAAATTCCACATTTGCCACATTTTACCACAGTGGCCACCCCTCTGCAGCCAAAGACAAAGAGCCCAGGAGGAGCTGGGGGGCACAGAATCATGGAATCATTAAGGCTGGAAAAGACCTCCAAGATCATCCAGTCCAACCGCACCCAGTAAACCCTATCACAAAGGGCCACATCCAAAATCCAAGTGGGTTC